AGAATCGAGCAGTAAAAGCATAGAATCGAGCCTGACCTCTACCTGATCGGCCTCCCCCTCTTAGGTGACCCCTAGCTGGTTGGGCGGGTAGCGAAGTAACTGGTGCTGAAGTCGTAGTCTGACATCTCTACTGCACTGGACCTCCCGAGCGACGAGGGCACTACCTCCACATATGCCCAAACTCCCCCGCACTCAAAGCAACTCCCCGGTACTTGTGGTGGTGAAGACTGAATCGGGCCTCGAGAACCAGAATAACTACTAGAAGCACCCGGTGCAAATGAACCCTGAACTTAAGGGCCACAGGACGAACTCTGGGCTTGAAGGGCATTGAGAGATGACTGACCCTGATGAGAACTATATAAACCATGGCCGGAAGATGCACCACGGTGAACTGGATGACCCGTCTGAGCGTGTCTGTAAGGACGACCCCTGTCGCGATAAAACTGACCCCCTGAAGGAACACAACCGAAATCACCTGGTCCACAAGGCCTCTTGGCCTCCCTCTCGCCATGCTCCTGGATACGGACCATCTCTATCTGCCTAGCAATGTCAACTACCTCATCAAACGTAGCACCAGATACCCTCTCCCGAGTCATAAGTAACCGCAGCTGATATGTGAGGCCATCAATGAATCTCCTAATCCTTTCCCTATCATTGGGAACCAACCAAACTTCTTGAGAAGCCAACTCAAAAAATCTCATCTCGTACTGCGTCACAGACATACCATCCTGATGTAACTGCTCAAACTGTCTGCTTAGCTCCTCTCTGCGAGACTGCAACACAAACTTCTCCAAAAGATAACGGAGAACTCCTGCCATGTAAGTTGTACTGCACCGATCGGCCTGCACCTTTCATAAGCCTCCCACCATCTGAAGGCAGCCCTAGAAAACTGAAAAGTAGTGAACGAGACCCCATTGGTCTCCAGAATACCCGCTGTCCGAAGCATCCGCTGGCACTTATCCAGAAAACCCTGAGTATCCTCTAACTCAGCACCGCTAAATAATGGAGGTCGAAGCCTTCCAAATCTCTCAAGTCTCCTCTGCTCATCATCTGCCATAACAGGGACTACCGGAGCCGGAGTAGCTGAAACTAGCAGGGCTGGTAGTGCCCCCGATATTTGAAGTCCCTACACTACCTAATCTGGAGTACAGGCAATAAGGGTATGAGTACCTCCCCTGTCCTGAGAAGTGGCAGGTGCGGCCTGAGCCGAAACTACCTGAGTAAGGCCAGTGCAAACTATCAATATCTAGGCCAGAGCCTCCTTAAGGCCTGGAATCACAATGGACACAGCTAGTGCCTGAGCTAGTCCTGTCGGCTCAGCTATATTTGGAGTCTGCTGCTAAGCTGGAGCAACTGGTGGTGCTACAGGTGCTACTCCAACTGCTGTATGAGCTGCACCGCGACCTCTACCTCGGACCCGGCCTCTTGCGGCCCTAACTGGTGGCACTGGTGTCTAACCATCTGATCTGGTAGTACGTGTCCTCACCATCTATGAGAGAATAGAATAACAGAGATTTAGTTTCCGGAATCAACAAATTCGCACGACTGAATACAAGAAGGTGAAATTTTCCTAAGGGTTCGGCAGCGTCTCGAAGATAAGTACAGACATCTCTGTACCAATCCGCAAGACTCGACTAAACCTGCTCATGACTCGTGAGACCTATGTAACCTAGTCTCTGATTCCAACTTGTCACGACCTGAAATCTCACCCGTCGTGATGACGCCTACCTTAATACTAGGCAAGCTGACAAAATCAATAACCCATAATTTCTTTTAAATACGAAAAACTTAATAACTAAGTTTAAGAGAAAATCCCACAAATACTGGATATAAATACACTCCCAAAACCCGGTGTCACTTAGTACATGAGCATCTATACATTACAAGTATGAAAAATATGATCTATAATAGTCTAAAACCAAATACAGTAAACAAGTAGATAGGGAAAGAGAGACAAGGTCTGCGAAACACGACAGCTACCTCTGAATCTCAGGAAAATCAACTGTGCGAAAGAATCAACACCCATTGTGTCCGGAAGTACCTGGATCTGCACACGAAGTGCAGGGTGTAGTATGAGTACAACCAACTCATGAGATAACAATACTAAATAAAGAACTGAAAGTAGTGACGAGCTTCACAGCTAAGTCCAATTACAGTAATTTTCAACATAAGAAGGTATGCATACTTTCAAGCTCAACATTTAAGCCCCCAACAGTAATTTCATATCAAGTTCAAATGAAACGAAAAATAGTATCTCTCAGAAATTTCTAAAAAAGTGATATATGATAGTTGAAGTGCAAAAATAATGAAAACAATGCATCCTCTCAAAGCAACAGTCACTCAGTCATCCCATTCACTCCAACCTCACAAACACTCTTTCCTCACACCCACTCATTCCTCTCAATTACTCAGCACTCGGCATTCGCACTCAGTAGGTACTTGCACTCACTGGGGATGTGTACAGACTCCGGAGGGGCTCCTTGAGCCCAAGAGCTACAACAAGCCAACCATGGCATAAATCAACAAAACATGTTGCGGCGTGTAGCCTGATCCCATAAAAATCCTCATAATTAGGCCCTCGGCCTCACTCAATCATCAACCTCTCTAGGCTCTCGGGCTCTCCGAAATCATGATAAGCAGCCCAACAGTAAAGATATGATGCATCAATAATGAATAAGAGAGACTGAGATGAAATATGCGAGTAAAAATTATGACTGAGTATGAAGCAGCAATTTAGCAAATAATTCAACATGTACATGACCTCTATGGGTCCCAACAATGTCAACAAATAGTTTAAACATGATTTATAGATTAATTTCTCTAACTACGTGGAAAATGTACGGATATCAACAGATTATTCAACTACATAGTTCCATGGAATTGACCAAGATACAATTCCTAACGGTGCACGCCCACACGCCTATCACCTAGCATGTGCGTCACCTCAGAACCAATCACATAACACATAATCTGGGTTTACCTACCCTCGGGACCAAATTTAACTGTTACTTACCTCAAACCATGTAATTCTTTATTCTGCAATCCCTTTGCCTCGCGAATCGGCCTCCAAACGCCTCGAATCTAGCCACAAATAATCTGATTCAGTTAATAAAAAATATAGGCATTAATTCCATAAGAAAATACAATTTTTCCATCAAATCCGAAATTTCAGCCCAAATATTGCCTGTGGGGACCACATTTCGGAACCCGACAAAAGTTATAAATCCAAAATCCCATTTAACCATAAGCTAACCGTACCAATTTTACTTAATTCTGACATCAACTCGACCCTCAAATCTTCAAATTAAATCAAGAGGGTTTTCTAAATTTTTCAACTTAATTCCCCCATTAGATGATGGAATCAGAAGCATAATCATGGAAATTAACCAAAACTAGCTAGGAATCACTTACCCCAAATACCCACGCAAGAATCTCTCCAAAAATTGCCTTCTACCGAGCTCCCAATTCAATTTTGTGTTATGACCTCAAAACCCTCGTTATGGATCTTTTAATTCTGCCCAGATATGCCTTCAACGCGAACGCGACCCCATCCTCGCATTCACGTAGAACAATCTGACTGCCCCTCATAACCCTTCGTGAACGCATCCCAAGCCTCGTGAACACGAAGCTTCGCTGGCCCCTCACTTTGCAAACGCGACAACCTCTACGCGAACGCGAAGGCCAAATGCACGGGATCCCCAGCTGCCTTCTCTCTTCTTCACAAAGGCGTCGCCCTTCTCACGTTTGTGATGCATTCACTGTCCAAACCTTAGCGAACGCGAAGAACAATTTCTCATCCACCTCCAGGTACATTTTGCGAACGCGAGACCCTCCTCGCGAACGCATAAGAGGAAAGCAGAAAAATACACCAGCACTCTTCACCAACAAGCCAAGTCCAAAAATGATCTGTCACCCATCTGAAACTCACCCGAGGCCCCCAGAACCTCAACCAAACATACCATCAAGTCCTATAACATCATACAAAATTAGTTGAACCCTCAAATTACCTCAAACAACGCTAAAACCATGAATCATACCACAATTCTAGCCTAATGAAACTAAGAACTTTCAATTTTACTTTCAACGCCGAAACCTATCAAATCAAGTCCGATTGACCTCATATTTTGCACACAAGTCATAAATGACATAACGGACCTATTCTAATTTTCTGAATCGAATTCCAACCGTGATATCAAAAAGTCAACCCCTCGGTCAAACTTCCCAAAAATGCAACTTTCGTCATTTTAAGCGTAATTCCGCTACAGACCTCCAAATCACAATTCGGACATGCTCCTAAGTTCAAAATCACCCAACGGAGCTAACGGAACCATCAAAATTCAAATCTGAGGTCTTTTACACATAAGTCAACATCTAGTCACTATTTTAACCTAAGCTTTAAATGTTGGAACTAAGTGTTTCAATTCATTAAAAAACCTCACCGAACCCGAACCAATCACCCCGGCGAGTCACATAACAACTATAAAGTATAAATTAAGCAGTAAATGAGGAAACAAGGGTTGTAATACTCAAAATGACCAGTCGGGTTATTATATTCTCCCCCTCTTACAACGTTCGTCCTCGAACGGGTTTAGAATTATACCTGGAGCCTTAAATAAGTGTGGATATTTGCTCCGCATCTCCCGCTTATCTCCCAAGTAGCTTCTCCGACTAGCTGGCCTCTCCACTGCACTTTTACTGAAGCTTTAAGAGTTCTCTGTACCATTTGGATTGCTCTATTGAAATCCTGGATACTTTTATGCCATTGGAATCCCAAAAGGGGACAGTTTTTAACCGATAGAATGGACTTGTTCGTCATTATGATTGCTTGTTTGACATTCATTGTTCAGATGGTTTCCTCCACACATGTCACAAGCCTCAGATTGGCTTGGTTATTGTGTATTCACCTGAAAAGATTCAAACTTTTGTTCCAAAGAAATAATTTATTGTGTTAGTGTATTTAAAGCATCAACTTGATTTACCATAGCAGCCTTCTTGATGATTACATGCTCAGATGACCATTGGATGGCATTCTCAAAAATCTCGTTCAACAATTGTAATGCCTCTTCCGTGGTTTTTCCCATTACAGAACCTCCTGCAGCTGCATCAATCACATTTCTAGAAGATGGTTTTAACCCATGATAAAAAATATACAATTGCATATGTTTAGTAATGTCATGGTGTGGGCCTTTTCTTAACATTGCTTTTAATCTTTCCCAAGCTTGATAAATTGACTCAGTGTCAGTCTGCAAGAAATTAGAGATGTCTTGTCTTAACTTTGTGGTTTTAGCGGGGGAAAAATATTTGTTTAAAAATTTCTGAGTCATTTGGTCCCATGTGGTAATGGAACCTTGTGGCAAACTTCGCAACCAGGTTTGGCATCTCCTTTTAAAGAAAAAGGAAATAGCCTTAACTTGATAGCTTCATGAGGTACTCCATTATACTTAGATGTTTCAACAAGTTCCAAAAAGTCAATTAAATGACTGTGTGGATCTTCACTTGCGTCTCCAGTAAAGATGCAAGACTGTTGAATCGTTTGAATCAGGCCTGTCTTGATTTCAAAGTTGTTGGCTGCCACTGGGGGTTTTCTGACACTAGATTCACAGTTGAAGCGGTCAGGTCTAACATAATCCCTTAGGATTCTGCTTGCTGGCCTTGGTGCTACTTCATCAAACTGATCCTATACATGGACTGGTGGTTGAATGTCTTCTACTCCCTGATTCTCTATTCCTTCACGAGCTATGCTTTGAGAAGATGATGTTTGTCCTTTACTGCACAATCGAAGAGATTTTTCAATTTCTGGATCGTAACTAGCCAACTTTTTTGTAGAAGAGCGGGTCATAAACTACACAAAAGTTTTAAATAAAAGAAATGCAAAACCTTTTTATTTTGTTTTGAAAATTAAAGTAGTTCCTAAAATAATAATAGAACTAGATAAAAAAGTACGAACTATTGTAGTAGTGTTACTAAATAACAACTAAATGTTTTTTGGAAAAATAAATAAAAATAATAACTTAACAATAATTATAATAATAAGTACTCAAATTAGTAACAAAATATTTAATCTGAAGTAGATGTATGCTAATCCCCGACAATGGCGCCAAAAATTGGATGAGGTCAATGTGTATTGGAATTTCTTGGATAATCGATGCTACAGATTTGTAATATTTTAACTACTATTTGAGAGAATCAAATTGATGAAAAGTGAGTGAGGTTTAAAACTTGTGAATTACTTAAACAAAACAAATAACTTTTAGAAGATTTATAATTTTAAAAAAGAGTTGGGAATCATTGAATTCACTTGATAATATTACTATAATAAAATATCAATTTCTACATTTATTTATCTAAAGAATAATTGCTTATATCTAATACAAATATATTTTGCTCACTAAACAATAATCAATTAATAACACTCTGTGAGAATTATGTTAATTAATCAACTTAAGACTGGTGACGTTTAAACCGAAATATTTTACTTGCTTGACTTGTGCTAAAAGAAAGTAAAAACTTCGTGAGAATATTATTACTAAATATCAATAATCTTGCCTACAACAATTCCTCCGTGAGACTTAAAACTGAGGCAAGCAAGATTAATGACTTGAAATAATAGTTTACTGAAAAATTATTTTCACTCTACTATTTTATTCATCAGTTATTATATATTAATTTTGCTCCCCGAGAATTACAAAAAAAATATATGAATAACTTAGAAATAAAATATATAGAAGTGATAATAGAGTAATTAAAAACCATCATTTCAGTACAATATGAAATGTAAATAAAAAGTTGCAAGGCAAGAATATATAAAAACTGAGATAATATTATAAAATATGTCAAGGTTCATCAACTATCCCAACGAAAAGAGATTACTCCATTATGGAGTAAGAAAAGCTACAAAAGATATTTAGAAGACTAGAAATATTTAAAAGACTAAGTATTTTTACTACAAAGAAAGAAAGACCAAGACTAGTTCTTGTCTTACAAAGATTGGATTTTCTTATACAAAGAGAGCTTGCTATTTATAGGAAAAAATTAGTAGTTTTTGTCATGTTTCACTTTTGCGAATGTGAAATCCATGTATGCGAAGTGACCTTTGTGTACGTAGATTCCATATATGCGACTATGGAACTTGTGCTTTACTCTTGACTTCATGAGTTAGTCTTGCAAATGTAGGTTCCATGTATGCGAATGTGACCTTGCGTATATAGATTCCACATATGCAACTATGCTCCTTTTCATCTCTAATTATCTCTTTCCATAAGTCCATGTGTATATTCCACATTTGTGAATATGAAGATTCTCTTTTCTTTTAGACTCTTTCCTTCTTTTTTATAATTTCTTCTTCCTACAAGATTTGTTAGAAAATATGCGAGGATAGGATATCATTATTCATTTTTTTTTTTAAACTTATTTTTTGCATATGAAATTACATGAATAATTTATATTCATCGTAGCGTCACTTGTAGTTTATCCAGGTATATTTGCATTCGCTCCTCTCTGACTTCACACATCCCATTAACTTGGTTCACCACAAGGAGGGAGTCGCACTTAGCCTCGATCATCTTTGCCCCCAAGCGTTTAGCCAGTTCGAGACCTGCAATCATGACCTCATACTCGGTCTCGTTGTTAGTCAATTTTATAGTTCTAATAGATTGTCTAACTACATTACCTGTCAGTGACTTCAATACAATGCCAAGTCTGGACCCCTTTGCGTTTGAGGCACCATCCGTAAAGAGGGTTCAGATTCCCGAAAAAGTCCCTGAGTTCAACAATAACTCTATTTCTTCCTCGGGTATTAGGGCCGGCGTAAAGTCGGCCACGAAGTCTGCCAAAATTTGAGATTTGATGGCGGTCCGGGGTCGATATTCGATATCCTATCCACTGATTTCCACGGCCCATTTATCAGTCATCCCGAGAGCTCGGGTTTATGCATTATGTTCCTCAATGGGTAAGTAGTTACAACACATATGGGGTGACATTGAAAGTATGGTCTTAGCTTCCTAGAGGCGCTTAGCAAAGCGAACGCCCATTTTTCTAGGTGAGGATACCTAGTTTCGGCCTCGCTTAGAGTTCTGTTAACATAATAGATAGGAAATTGCATACCTTCTTCTTCCCGGAGCAGGACTCCACTTACCTCCACCTCGGATACTGCTAAGTATAGGTACAGTTGTTCGTCTGCCTTCGGAGTGTGAAGCAAAGGTGGGCTCGAGAGGTACCATTTGAGTTCCTCCAAGGCTTGCTGGCACTCCGGAGTCCATGAGAAGTTATTCTTCTTCTTCAACAGTGAGAAGAACCGGTGGCTCTCGTCGGAGGACCTCGAGATAAATCGACCCAAAGTGGCTATGCGTCCGGTTAACCTTTGTACGGCCTTGATGATGTCCACTACGGTAATGTTCTCTATGGCCTTGATTTTATCAGGATTGATTTTGATCCCCCGGTTGGACACCATGAATCCGAGAAATTTTCCTAATCCGACTCCAAATGCACATTTTTCTGGGTTCAGCTTCATATTGTATTTCTTCAATATGTCGAAGGTTTCCTGCAAATGCTTCAAATGGTCCTCTGCTCGCAGGGACTTAACCAACATATCGTCAATATAAACCTCCATTGATTTTTTTACAAACTTCCGATTTACTAGACGTTGGTTAGTACGGATATCGGGACCACCTCGTCGACCGCGAACATCTCCTTTGCGGTCAGTTGTTCTACGTAAATTATTGTTATCCCTCCTGGCATTAGGAATTTCAACACTTGGTGCAGAGTTGAGGGTACTGCCCTCATGTTGTGGATCCATGGCCTCCCAAATAAAGCATTGTACCTCAGATCTCCTTCGATTACATAGAACTTGGCTTCCTGAATGATCCCGGTGACGTTCACCGGTAATGTTATCTCTCCTTTAGTGGTCTCACATGCCATGTTGAATCCGTTTAGAAATCGGACTCCAGTCATGAATTGATATTGTAGACCGAGTTGTTCCACGACCCTCGATCTGATGATGTTGGCTGAGCTACCTAGATCAGTTAACACACGCTTAACTCAAGATTTAATTATGAGTAAAGATATTACCAGTGCATCATTGTGGGGCTGCACGATCCCTTCAGTGTCCTCATCGTTGAAAGGCAAGGTTCCCTCTGGCACGTAATCTCGAGTCCATTTTTCCCTTGTGATGGATACTTTGGTCCGCTTTAGCATCGGCCCCTGCGGAACGTCGACCCCACCGATGATCATGTTAATGACGTGATGAGGTTCTTCCTGCATGATCTATTTATTAGAATCTCTAATCCTGAAATGATTCTTGGCTCGATCGCTCAGGAACTCTCGGAGATGTCCGTTGTTGAATAGCTTGGCTACTTCCTCTCTTAATTGTCGGCAATCCTCTGTTCTGTGGCCGTGAGTGCCATGATATTTTCATATTAGGTTAGGATCCCTTTGGGCTGGATCGGACTGTAGAGGTCGGGTCCATTTAGTGTATTTGATGTGTCCGATGGAAGATACAATGGTGGCGGCGTTGATATTAAAATTGTACTCCGGTAACCTTGGCGCTTCCTTAGGCCCGATGGTCCTGTCGAAACTATTTTTGCTCACGCATCCTCAATTGTTCTGACCTCGATCACTCCTCCTTTCACTTCTCATAGTGTTTCACCGAGACCCACTGCTTCTTTGGTATCCATTGTATGGCTGATACCGATCCCTGTTTGATCTTGGTTCATGGCCAACGTCTCTCTTGACTCCGTCGACGGCTCTCACGGGATAAACGGACCCGGAAGGGGCCCCAAGCTGATCATCTTCGACCCTGATTTTGATTGATATCGGGTATACACGTTGGCTCAAGTAACATGTGGATATTCTACCAGATTTTGTTTCAACTGTTGTAAAGACAATGAGCTTCGAACATTGAGTCCTTGGGTGAAGGCCTAAACGGCCCAATCGTCCACGACCGGAGGAAGGACCATCTGTTCCAATTGTAACCGGGGCACAAATTCTCTGAGCTTCTCATTATCCCTCTATTTTATTTTGAAAAGGTCTGACTTCCCGGTCTCGACCTTGATAGCCCCGGCGTGTTCTTTTACGAAGGAATCTGCAAGCATAGTAAACGAGTCAATAGAATTAGGAGGTAGGTTGTGATACCATATCATAGCTCCCTTTGACAGAGCTTCCCCGAACATTTTCAGCAGGACTGACTCGATCACATCATCCTCCAAGTCATTCCCTTTGATGGCGCACGTGTAGGAGGTCACATGCTCATTTGGGTCGGTTATTCCGTTGTACTTAGGAATCTCGGGCATGCGGAACTTCTTAGGGATCGGCTTCGGAGCTGCACTCGGAGGAAAAGGTTTTTGAACAAACTTCTTAGAATCCAGGCCTTTTAATATCAGCGGTGCTCCTAGGATTTGGTCGACCGTGGAATTGTAGGTTTCCACCTTTTTGTCATTGGATTCGATTTTCTTCTCTCCCGATTCTACCCGTTTTGTCAGCTCCTCGAGCATCTTTATGATCTCGAGGTTAGTCCCCGATTCATTTTCATTCGGCCTTTCCGTGACCGATTCATTTCTGCGGGTGACTTCCCGGGATGGCTCGGGCTCAATTTTGCTCGGCGCGCTGTCACGGCCCCAAATTCCCTCAGTAAGATGTCGTGATAGCACCTAGTCTCTAAGACTAGGTAATCCTATCAATGCGGAATAACAATAGAAATCTAAAATAAATAAATCTGCAATTCACATAATTACAACTCCCAAAACCCGGTAGGAATAAGTCACAAGCTTCTAAG